TTAGGGTGGGATTGGCCGTGGGAAATTGTCCCACAGTGTCCAGGGATGTGCAGGTTAGGGTGGGATTGGCCGTGGGAAATTGCCCCATAGCGCCCAGGGATTTGCAGGTTAGGGTGGGATTGGCCGTGGGAAATTGCCCCATAGCGCCCAGGGATTTGCAGGTTAGGGTGGGATTGGCCATGGGAAATTGTCCCATAGTGCCCAGGGATATGCAGGTTATGGAGTGTTTGATGGTGGGGTGTGGGGGAGCGGACAGTGTAGGGAGACCCTTACTCTGTTGTGGTGCTGAGGTAGTTAAGCTGTTTCTTGTTCATTTGTCGCTTTCTTTTCCTTGAGAATGGCTCTATCAGTCAGTACTTTGTATGCAGATGGGACTTCACTGGTGACTGAGGAGAGGAGCCTTGTTCCTATCAGTCACTGTCTCAGTGTTGAACAGCTTCAGTGAACAGGCATATTCTCCCAATAGAGATTCATCACCTTAAACACATCATCACTGCTGGGGGTGGGTGGCGAGACGGAGACAGAGAGTGAGAGTGAGAGAAAGCAAGAGAGAGGGAATGGCGTGAGGGAATGGAGTGAGCGAGGGAGGGAGTGAGGCAGCAGGGGAGGGAGGGAACAGAGGGAGTGTGGGGAGGGATGGAGGGAATGGAGGGAGGGAGAGTGGGAGGGAGAGTGGGAGGGAGAGTGGGAGGCAGAGAGGGAGAGACAGACAAGGGGAGGGAGAGAAAGACAGTGAGAGAGAGAAGGGGGGGCGAGAGAGAGAGAGGAGAGGGAGAGAGAGAGAGAGGAGAGGGAGAGAGAGAGAGAGAGGAGAGGTGGAAGAGAGACAGAGAGAGAGAGGGTGACAGAGAGTGGGTGGGAGAGTGGGAGAGTGAGAGACGCAGGGAAAGGGGGAGAAGACAGAGGGAGATAATGAGGGTGTGTAGGGGGCTGGAGGAGGTGACAGAGATAGGTAGGGAGCGTAGGGGGATGGAGGAGGAGGTGACAGAGATAGGTAGGGAGTGTAGGGGGATGGAGGAGGAGGTGACAGAGATAGGTAGGGGGGGTAGGGGGAGAAGGGGGGGGGTGTAGGGGGATGGAGGAGGTGACGGAGATAGGGAGGGGGTGTAGGGGCTGGAGGGGGTGACAGAGATAGGGAGGGAGCTGGAAAGCGATAGGGTTGAGAGTGGCATGAGGACCCTGCGTGTTTTACAAAATCGCAGAAGACGAAACAATTCCGAGAGCTGTGTGGGAATGTGATAATCCTGTGACAGTGAATTTAACAGTAAATCCTTTTAAATGATTTGGGAGTCAGTGGAATTTGAAGGTAATACAGAATGTAATAAAGCAGTCAGCGGTTTTAAACACTCCACATCCTTCAGTTCATGGCCCCAGGGTGTAATTATTCTAAATTAACTCCCCAGGGGGAGTCTGCCTCCAGTTCCCAATATCTTGCCTGTTCTCCCTTCCTGCGCAATGCAATGTTGAAATCTGCAGATTAAGGGGTTTTTAAATCCCCGGCTCATAGCCATATCGACAGGACAGCATTAGTCTGGGCAAGAACTGGATCTTGTATCTCACACCCCTCCCTACCTCTGTCACCCCCTCCCTATCTCTGTCACATCCTCCTCC